AGGGGGGCGCCACCTAAAATCTTGCCTAGGGCGCCAGATTGGTTAGGGCCAGGCCTGCCTAAAGCAGATGACTCGTGGGCCTGTTGGCACGGCTCTGTGTACTTTGAAATCAGTTTATGAACTTGAACCACAACAAATAATGGTCCCATTTACTTTGACATCTGATAGCACATTTCTTATTACTGTCAACATTTAAAGAATAATTATGAATTTAAATATAACCACAACTTTTATAAGGATACTGTAGCATCTCTTAAATGAAATGAACATCTGCAATAGTCTTACTCTTGTGTTTGTCTTTTCACACACAGTTAATCCAATCCAACGTAACAATAAAATAATAAAAATAAACTTCCTCTTGTGTCTACTCCTTTCTGTCAACCTATGACAGCAGCACCATCACACAAAGCAAAGAAATCATGCATGGAAGTGAAACAACAGTGCTTTTTGTCTTAATGAAAAGCTGGAACAGAGCTGATCCTCTACATCAGACATCAGGCAGACCGGGTCTGGATCCAGTGTTGAGATTTCTCTGTAAAGTTGAGACTGTTCAGTCAGGATTTAAACCAAAAAGGAACAATTCAAGCGTTTTATCTCTTTAATTTTTCTGAAGTTAAGCACTTAATCTAAATGTGGGTAGTTTTCATATTTGAATGGTGTGAATTTCAGCAGGCACACATACATATCTGTTCAGTTTTATGTTGTGTCACCAAAAACTGTTTTTGAATTATTTGTTAAAAGGTTTTGAAATGAACAATCATATGAAAACATCTGGGAACGTCTCTCCCTGCATAAAAATTCACTCTTCATTCAACAAAAAGATAACAGTGGCATGTATTTCATTTCCTCCTCATTTCCTACATCTGAGTACTGAGTGTTTCACAAACATCTATTTTTAGTGAAGCAGTATTTAGACGTACAGAATGGAGTTAGTTGTAAAAACTGGCTGTGCAACAATTTGGGTATCGTTGTAATTTCACTGATTGTTCAATACTGATTACTTGCAAAACTAAATTAGGCATGTCCAATCATAAGAAAATGTATTTAAGGTGGAAACTTTCAAGTTCTGCTTCTCTTTGACACTGAACACTGACAGCATTGGATTCTCAAAGTAATTCTCAAAAGATCTGAAAACAAGGATTGTCAGTACTGTGGTTCAAGGGGAGGCTGCAAAAACATCTCTCAGGGGTTTAAACTCAGTATCATCTATAAGGACAGTGATCAGGAAATAGAAGAGCACAGGCACAGCTGTGGTTGAACTCAGGTCAGGCCAAGAAAATTACAGGAGCTGCATATGCAGCAGACTGTCAGAATGAATCACCTCCAAAACCCTGCAGAGCATCTTGCTGAAGATGTGTATTTGTACATATGTATGGGAGGGTAAAGAAAAGAAGGCCTTTCTGCACTCACACCACACACAGAACCGCTCGTTGTATAAAAGCTCATTTAGATGAGACAGATTGACACGGTGCTGTGGAAGAATAACACCACATTCCCCTGACTTGGATGTCATTGAAATTTTGTGGGATGATTTGAATCAGGCTGTTGATGCTTTTCTGTTTTTTTGTATGGAAGAAGGATCAAACATGCCTTCATCTAGGATCCAGACACTCATCAAAGGCTATCCGAGGTGTCTTGAGTTATATTTGCAAATGAAGCTCAATGAAGTGTTGATGTAATATCTCTGTTGGGGCTCCTAAATTTATGCACCGTCTAACTTTGTTATAATTGTTGAAATTTTGTTGTTGTAATTGTTGGGATTTTTTTATGACACATATTATCTGTTAATATAATAAACTGTCACTGTTGAAATGATACAGTTTCCATAATGACAGATCAGCCAATGATAAACCAAAATCCAAAAACTCAACAGAGGTTTCCTTTTACCTATGACTGTGTGTTTACACTAAATAATAATAATAATAATAATAATAATAATAATAATAATAATAATAATAATAATAAACTTTATTTATAAAGCACACCTAAAAACCAAGGGTAAATAATGAGACATTATGATCATCTGGATCTTTGCATCAAGAAGTTTTCTCTAACTGGACTCTCTAAATTTCACTTTAATAATAATAATAATAATAAGTCAGTGTGTGGTGGGGTAATGTTTATTTATATTGTACAATTTGATGTAAATACTGACACTAACTGTATATGTTCTGAATGACAATAATGTGGCTATTCTGTTCTATTCTGTATTACCAAAGAGAGCCGAGTCAGCAAATTCTCATTGAGTATAAAGGAAACACAAACCTCCCAATTTTTGGACTCCAGCTGCTTCTTCAGATTCTCTGCTTTGTCTTTCGCCTCCTGGAGCTGATCGATGATTTTACTCTCTGTCTCACCCTGGAGCTGAAATGTTACACGAGGAAAGAGCAGAAGAAAGAAACAATCATGTTTAAGACAATAATGATAACACAACCAGAGTCAAATAAAAGCTGCATTATGTAAATATTGTTCATCAGTGCTGCCGATTTAATGATTTAGTGTTTTATATTATAAAACGCTGCGTCCAGATGATTTAAATCTAATATAAATTTATTCATTTATATTAAAGAGCCTGACGGTGAGTAAATATTGATATGTGCAGTTATTCTATTCATAAATAGAGTTCAGTAAATTCAGAATGTTTATAACAGAAAGACAAACCTGAAGCTGCTTCAGCTTCTCTGCTGTTTTTTTGTCCTGCTGGAGCTGTTTGATGATTTCACTGTCTGTCTTACCCTGGAGCTGAAATGTTACATGAGGAAAGAGCAAAAGGAAGAAATGTTTATGTTTAAGACACAATATTAATACCACAATAGGATTTAAATAAAGCTGGAAATAAAATCTGTATTATGTAAATATAAGCTGGAAAACATAAATAAATATTTGTAAATAACACTAAGGAAATATCTTAGTTTCAATGTAGAGTCTCTAAAACTAAAACCAGCTTTTACTTTTTACCTACTAATACTATGCACGCACAGCCCATTGTTCATCAGTTCTGCTGATTTAATGAATTGTGTAAAACGCTGCGTCCAGATGAACCTAATCAACTTTCTGGGAATACGCATGGACAATTTGTTTTCTATATACTTACATATATATATCCTGGATTTTTTTTTTATTTAACTGAGATGCGTAGATTTAAATCTAATATCAATTTATTCATTTATATTAAATAGTCTGACAGTGAATAAATATTGATGTGTGCAATTATTCTATTTATAAATAGAGTTCAGTAATTTCAGAATGTTTATAACAGAAAGACAAACCTGAAGCTGCTCCAGCTTCTCTGCTGTTTTTTTGTCCTGCTGGAGCAGTTTGATGATTTCACTGTCTGTCTTAACCTGAAATGTTATATGAAGAAAGAGCAGACGGAAGAAATGTTCATGTTTAAGACACAATATTAATACCACAATAGGATTTAAATAAAGATGGAAATAAAAGCTGTATTATGTAAATATAAGCTGGAAAACATCAATTAATATTTGTAAATAACACTAAGGAAATATCTTAGTTTCAATGTAGAGTCTCTAAAACTAAAACCAGCTTTTACTTTTTACTTACTAATAATATGCACGCACAGCCCATTGTTCATCAGTGCTGCTGATTTTGTTTAAGTAATTATGTAAATCTACGGTTTATAAGGTTGGGAAACCTGCAGTCAGCTGAAACTGACAGTTTCTCTGCTCTATTTGATGAGTGACAAAACGTTTCTCCCACTGAAAACGTTACGTCCAGATGAACAGAATCAACCTTTTAGGATTATGCATGCACACTGTTTTTTCTTATATTCTTACATGTATATATCTGGGATTTTTTTTTATAATTGAGATGCTAAGATTTAGATTTATTGATTCATTTATAATGTACAGTCTGATGGTGAGTAAATATTGATGTGTGCAATTATTCTATTCATAAAGAGAGTTGGGTCAGTAAATTCAAAATGTTTATAATGGAAACACAAACCTGATTCTTCTTCTCCAGCTGCTTCAGTTTCTCTGCTGTTTCTTTCACCTCCTGAACCTGATAGATCATTTCAGTATTCTTCTTCCACTGCAGGTGAAATGTTACATGAAGAAAGAGCAGAAGGAAGAAATGTTCATGTTTAAGACACAATAATGAAACAACCAGAGTCACATTAAAGCTGTATGATGTAAATATAAGGGAGCTGATGCAGCATGATGTTAACAACATTAAGTGTTGTGGGATGAAGTCAACAATCTTGCAGTGGTAGGATTTCAAAGTTGTGTTTGGTTAATGACACAGAAACTGCTGCTGGACAAAACTGCAGGGGTATAAGTGCACAGGTCTGTGATCATTGGGAGGATGACAGCATCACATATGTCCATGTTTACCTCTGTGTGCTGAGAGATGCTTTCACTGACCTTTGAGACCAGTGTAGGAAATATTGCCATCAGCTTCTGAGTGATTTCATCAGATTTGATCATCTGTCAGAAAAAAAGACAGACAGATGTTGATGTTTCTGCAGTGCTTTGTTTGTAAAAGTGATAAAATTATTGAAGCTTCACACTGTGAGCAACATGTTTCCAACCATACTCAGTCTAATTGGTTTCTTTTTTTATGATACACACTGTATAGAATAAAATTTCTCTACTTTGTCTAAGAGAAACCAAGATTGCGTCAGTGTGTACGGCCTGCCATCTGACTCTGTTTGTACTAGTGTTTTATTTTATTTATTTGTCTTAAAAATTCTAACTTCCTGCTTGTATATAATTGCCAAACACCCCTGGCTAAAATATCTTCTCATTTAAAACCTGTTTATTGCAGTCGTAGATATCAGGGATCCTTCTCCCCACAATTCCTGTCAGGAGTTCCAGCTGGTCTCTGTTGTACTTCAACTGAGAGGGCATCATAGATGCCGTGGGAAATGCATTGGCTTATTAGTGAGAATGAAGGCTTCCTTGGCATGATTTGCAAAAACGCCTCACGCTATCCTGACTGGATTTGACCGCGTCAACTACTGGTAGTATATGTATATGGCTTACACCTCTTGTTGGGTTTATTACAATAACCTCACGCCAAGCGCTCTCCCCATCTTCGCTCAGGTGAAGTAAACCCTCAGAACCTACGGCCGACAGGTCGAGCACCCACATCGGCCGTTGGTATTACTAAGGATTCTGTTTACATTATACATGCTTCCCTTAGGCAGTATCGTCAGAAGACACAGCATAAATTTTCACTGCTATGCAGATGACACCCAGCTCTATCT